CTTGGGGCTTCCATAGACACACACACCCCTGTGGCACGCCACGTCCCTTCTCTCCGTCCAACAATTTGATTGGCAGAAGGAGCCTATTGCTCCTTTTTGCCATCATTATCCTCCCCGCAACCAGGAAATTCGGGGAACAGAGGATCGCTTCGGGACCAGCGGCAGGGACGAGCGCAGCTGACAGGTAAGTGTGGGGGGGGGGGGCGGGAGGGAGAAAAAAAGGTGCTGGGCCGTTTTACCCTAATGCAGAGAACGCATTAAAGTAAGAAACGCACAGAAACGCCCATACTATTAAGTGCTCGTTTTGGTCTAGATACAAAAATAAAAAAGTTATACTTGCCCAAACCTCGGAGATGGCTACTACAGTTCTTCCTTCAGCCTTTCTCATACGCTGCAGTGATGGTGTGTCCCCTGCCGTCCTATATACTGTGTATTATTATTATTATTAGTAGTAGTAGTATTTATATAGCGCCAACAGTTTGCGCAGCGCTTTACAATATAAGGAAGATATTACAATTCAACACAAGAATATGATGACTCGGGGAACCTTAGACCACTATAGGGGAGGGGAATGCTGGAGCGGTCTAAGAGGGGGGCGTCTCTGAGGATCGGGTGAGTATAATAATTTTTGCATCTAGAACAAAATGAGCACTTAACCCTTGCGGTGCCGGGGGTAGCCCCACTACAAGGGTTAAGACATTTTTCCAAGGATCCAATCAAAATGTTATTGTAAATCTGATTTGCCTGTTGGCTTCCTTTTCCATATGACTCCTCTGAAAAGCAATTCTATAGAGTTAATGTTTAGATTCAATCAGATGGATCAGACAGTCTGAGAGCTGATTAGAAATGTAGTGCAAACTGCAATAATTATTGTAAAATGGTTCAGTCTTCCTCGCTGACCTCCTTAAACTTACATCTGATAGTCGCTGCATTGTGTACTTGGCCATTGTCCTTTGTGTCGTCTTGTTGAAGATTTGCGGCAGACAATATGTAATTATCACATGATAACACTTCTGTATTGTTTTCTGCAGGCGTTAGGTGAGCTCTGTGAGATTAAGTTTGGAAAAACTCATCCCATGTGTTCTTTGGTAAGTTATTGTTGACTTGAGATTATTATCAATATGCCCCCTAATAAAAATCTTGTGGGCATATAATAGTTCTATAAATCTAAAGCAGCATGTGTTCATGGAGTATGTCAGTGTTTGGCCACGTCAAATAATTATCTGCATGCTGCAATGCATGGTGCTACTTGAAGCTGTTCATTTTGTGCTGTTTATGATCATGCAGTTATATGCTTGGCAGTGCAAACCGTGTCCATTGTGGGCAAACTGTCACATGCAACACATTTCCTTTTATTGTTTTCAAGAGTTGTCTTTGTGGACTCTGCAAATGTGTGTGTGTCTGGGCAAAATATATTCAGTACATCTCTCCAACACCTGTACATTTCCCCATGTTTTGTCTCTTATAAACAAATGCCGGCCAGAAAATCCAGTGTGCTTCTAATGCCCTGTATGAGCTGCAACACAGTGCCTTTGCTGCACTGATTCCAAGCAATATTAGCACTGCCCAGTTAGTAAGCCCTCCCCTGTTCTACAATGGACTACAGAACACCTTCTTATGTTAAAGAGATGAGGAGAAAGGAAGGAGTTCTGGAGCCCAGATGGGGAAAACTGAACAGTGATAAGGAAAGGATCGAATCGGATTACTGGGGTGCTTTTTGCTGGAGCTAATGTTGGGGTCAGTGGCAGAGCAGGACATGGGGGAATATAACAAACATAAACATTTTTCAAAACTAGCTCTATGCCCCCCATTGCTTTATCCTCCGTGTATCCCAAACTGTATCAAAACATGCTTCTGTTCCAGTGTGTGACTTTGATGTATTTTGACAATTCCAGATTTCATCTTTGCCCCTTTGGTTGCCCAAATCTTTAAGTCCAGCCACTGGCCGGGAACTGCAGCGGCTGTCTTACCTGGGAGCCTTCTTCAGCCTGTCTGTGTTTGCAGAAGATGACGTGAGTATTTTTTGGACTTGTCAGTCTGTCCCAGTAACCGATCAGACTTTCCCTTGTGTGTGTTGTTGAAATTGGAAGAGGATTGGATTGGGTGCTGTGGGTAGGACATGCCGGAGATGGACAGTTGCCCCCACTAAGACTAACAGTCCTGATGGACTGAAGCGCCACTAGTGCAGGTTACCCATTCCTTTCGTCTTCTCATTGAGATGCAGGAAGCATTGTCAGGTCTCTAAGATTTTCCTACTGAGCTCTTTCACTGTCAGAAATACTCATAATCTCCTAGGGGGCCTAAACTGCCCACATCTCACCCAAATGTTACACAGGGCTGCCGGGTCACAGCAGAATTGCTCTGTTTATGTTTTGATTTCCATAGCTGTTTTCGGACACATGTGACGTCCCTTCGGTTTGTTTTCAGAGAGAGCTAAGAATCTTCTTTTACATTTGTTTCCTTGCAGAATAAAGTTGTTGAGAAATACTTCTCTGGTCCAGCAATCACTCTAGAGAACACCCGAGTGGTCAGCCAGTCTCTGCAACATTACTTGGAGTCGGCACGGGTAAGTATCGCACTAATAAATACTTTTAGACTCATTTGGAATACGGACGTCAAAATGTGCCCAGATCTGCTGTAGTCACATGACTGACCTTTGCATTGGTTGTGACTGGGCACTGGAAGCATGCTGGATATAACCTTGCCTCCATGTGTGTAATTTAAGATCTATTAGTGTGACTGAATGTTCCATGTACCATGAATGTTTATGGGGACGCTGTAGTGGAAATGAGGTGTCTCCTTGAAACTTCTTCATCCAACGCTGCACATTGCTAATGTCCACTACAGCGTCCCCGTATACATTCTGTAACCGATTATGGATTTCCTTAGGTGTGCAACCCTCTCGCCAGAAATTCAATGGCAGCTTGTTTTAGCTGCAGATCCATTGTTCTAATCACTCAGTCTGAAAAAGAAAAGCATACATTAGAGGGATGAGAACAGCTCTATAACATGGTATATGAACATTCACAGTCACTCTAATAGATCTCAAATTACAGACATGGAGGCATTACTTTTTGATTGACCCTCATATTTATATAATCGTATACCTATAGCTAAAAATGCTTTTCCTTTAAGTTTGCGATATAATGATGGTAAAAATCCCCTGTCAGGTTTTTCAGGTATTTTTTTTTCTTTTCACTCTTCCCCCAATTCCATTGACAGACATTCAATTTTGGATTTCCCTTAACTTTCTGTCTCGGTCACCAGAACAAATAGAGTGGGTGTAGCACAGACGCCAATAAAAAAAAACCTGACCGATGTTTTTAACCCTTCCCTGCTCAGTCCAAAAACAGAAGAAATAACATTTAGGCCCCATTCACGCTGAGCGATTCGCAAATCACACGAGTTGCATTTTATCGTGCAAATGCTTGCATTGAGCAAGCTAGAATCGCGGCAAAATCCGCTCCAAAAAGGGTCCTGCTGTAGCGACCCACGACGGACAGAGCCCCATTGCCATGCATTGGAGAGCGATATCGCGCGGTAAATAGTCGCGATATCACGGGAATTACCGCGCGATAAATCGCTCAGTGTGAATGGGGCCTTAAGCTGTAGATACCTTTCAAGTTATTGAACTGAAACCCCATTTACCCTCTCTTCTGTCATCTGCAAATCAGATGAATGCCTTTTAGCGCCCTGTGCATCGTTTTACAAGTTGTAACACTATGAAACCTACATTTTGTTTGCAGCAAGAGTTGTTTAAGAGTCTGCACAGCATCTTGCTGAATGGAGAAACCAGAGAGGCTGCCCTAAGCTACATGGCTGCCATTGTCACCAGCAACATGAAGAAGGCCCAGCTGCAGGTACAGTACGCTCCATTGCTTTCCTACCTTCTAGGATCAGGACAGAATTCTTAGTTCCGTCTCCTTGTATTCTGCAGGCAGACGACCGCCTTGTGTCCACTGATGGCTTCATGCTGAACTTTTTATGGGTGTTACAGCAGCTCAGCACTAAGATTAAGCTGGAGACTGTGGATCCTATGTATATTTTCCACCCCCGATGTCGCATAGCACTGCCCAATGATGAAACCCGAATTAAAGCTACCATGGAGGAGGCGACTAGCTGGATGGCGGAACTGAGTAAGTGCTTAAGAGTTTCATCTTCATCATTGCATTGATAAAGTATATGTAAAGCCTTAAATCGCCAAAAATCAGGCTGTACGTTAGGCATTTACAATGCAAAAAGCTGGTGGGTTTTTCATCCAAACAAACCCTGCAAAATACAGAAATTATGCCTATTAATCAGCAGTCACGTGGCAACAATGTGCACGGCAGGGCTAGGGGCAGAGTAAAAGCTGCAGTGCCCAGCTGCTGCTGGTGACATTGCCAACAGCTTTAGCATTACAGGGTAAACATGTTGGGGAAGGCCGGGGGACGTGACTATCTGTAACATCACAGGCTGATGACAGGACTCTGCAGGCTCTGCGTGCGTCAGCATGGCGACCTGTAGACCAAATGCAGAAGCATGGTTAGAAGGCTGACAAATCTGTGACAACAAAAGGAGCTTGTGGTTAGTGTTGTCACCTATTCGCAGAAAACAAAAAGAGGCAGATGGTGGCAGGATCAACAGAGATATATATATATATACACACACACACACACACACACACACACACACACACACACACTCATATTCGCATTTATCACACAGCAATAATATTGTCATAGTAATAAAAAGGTATTAAAAGGGTCGTTGGACTAAATACAAGACTCTCTGCAATCGCTAATGATCCACAACACACCTGGTAGATAGACACCGTGGGCTTATAATTGACATGGTGGATAACCGAGTAGTGTTTTCATGCTCTACTTGTACTATTACTTGGTAATGCTGACATAGTTCCCCATTTATTATACAGCAGAGCCCAGGCTGGTCACAGGGTGGGACAAGAACTGTAAGTTTTGGCTAACTGCAACAGAGAAGAATCAGGTCTTCTGCCCTGGCAAATGAGGCTGTACTGTGTGGAAGAGCTGTGTACATCTCAGGGCTAGATGGACAGAAATACAAATCCTTTGGCAGATAACACAGTTATCCAATATGAACTTAATCTGTTTGCATGGAGTTGAGCTGTAATTTTAGGGCCACTTTAAGTCTTTTTATATTACTTATATTTTAGACCAAGATCCTGCTGCTTTTTCCGATCCCAAGTTTCCTACAGAGTGCTTCTTCCTGACGTTACATGCCCATCACCTCGCCATCTTACCGAGCTGTCGGCGCTATATCCGTCGCCTCAGAGCGATCCGAGAGCTGAACAGGTAGGTGACTTCATCCTGCGCCTCAGCAAAAATGCTCATTGACTGCAGTGAAAGTTTGATCTCTGGCATAGGAGTTGTTCATCTAAAGAGTTACAGCATTTCTCATTACAACTTGGAGACAAATCCCTTGTCAAAGTCAAAGCCCTCCCAGATAAGACTTTAGAGCCTGTGGGTGGGACCCATATGTAGGCTCTGCTCCTGATTGGCTGACTCTCTGCTTTTAAGTGAACCTGTTGCCAGGCTGGGGACATTCATGTACTTGCATATTCTTAGCGAGCAGCAAATGAGCTTTGAAACAAGCCTTCACTGACCCCTGTAGCTGCAGGCACTGTGGAGCGATTCAAATTGTTAAATGTTAATAGCAAATGCAAAGAAGTCATACAGGTCAGTTTCTCAGCAATTTGGCTTTCCTCTCCTGACAGTCACTTAGTAGCTGAGCTCATCCTGATCCCCCTCCTTCTCCAACAATTGACTCAGTAGCTCATCCCACCCTTTTCCTTCTCCCACCAGTTACTTAGCAGTTCAGCTCACCCTGCTTCCCCTCCTAGCAGTGGTTCGGCAGCCTTCTAGTCTCCCCCTAATCTCTGTAAACACAGTGCAGCAGCTCCGGAAAGGCAAAGCAGGGGAGCTGACCTACTACAGAAGAGCTTCAGTGATTTTAGTGCTTCTGATGACAACTTTTTAGGATGAGTTACTGCAAACTGCCTGTAGATACAGTGAGGACCTGTTTTAAAGCTCATTTACAACTTGTTAAAAATTTTGAATGTCCATAGACTTGCTACAGGGATGCACTGCACTCAATGCTGCACTGTATGAAGGTGTTGGTGATCCTTGTGCTCTGTATACAATTGTAGTGAACATTCATTGGGAGCTGTTTAGCCATCCTGCTGGGGTGTAGAAAATCATTTTGCAGTCCTCTTTAATGTCTGGCTTTTACTTTAACTGTGTTGTGATCAATCTGAATAATGCGCTTTGTTGGGGAACATGCACATTAGGCTGGCAGTCTTCAGTGTGAAAGGATTCTTTTGTTTTGTGGGGCATCTCACATCCACTCTAATTCCTTTCTTCTTCACCAACTGCAGGACTGTGGAAGAGCTAAAGAACAATGAGAGCCAGTGGAAGGACTCCCCGTTGGCCACCAGGCACAGAGAAATGCTGAAACGTTTTAAAACGCAACTTAAGGTTTGTTTTGTGTTCTGGATTTAGTATCAGGCTAAACATCGGCAGTGATTTAAAACCGGATTCTTTTTTCCTAAACTACACGCTTTCATCCACTTATGCTGACAAGCTGCCTTTTAGGCCCGGTGCAGACCTGAGTGATCCGGGATCGCGCAGTCCTGCACAATGCAGACAGCTATTGCCACGCGGCCCCTTTGATTTCAATGCGGTGACATCCGCGTGGCAATCATTGTTCGAATGCACGGGCGGAATCTCTGCGATCCACCCGGCACAACTGGGGTGCCACTAGAAAATAATGGCACCCACCGCGCGACCGTCTGTGCTGGGCGACTCCGTGACCACGCGGTATAGTGCACGATTGCCATAGTCAGGAGTTGCCTAGGTGTGCACCGGCCCTTAGTGTGTGAAAAATTAGAATCCATAGAACCTGGCTGCTGTTTATTTATCCATCACTTGAAAGGTGACTTTAGACTGCTGGCAGGTTGTAGCAGATCTGCAAAAAGAAGCTGCACCCTCTTATAAGGAAATGTCTTTTTAGGAAGCGGTGCCATTGTTCTCAAGTCTTGTCTGGCAGATCCATTCTTTGATGTAATAGGGAAGGACAGGGGTGCAAAGTATTTTGTTCATCTAGGCTGTGTCCCTTACAATTTCAGTATAATTTTTTGTCTTGGAGTCCAATCCAGGTCAACTTTACATAATAATGAAAGCCAAAAGCTTTCCCAGTCTTCCCACTTCTCATTTTCCTTTTACTGATCATTTCTTTTGAATCGCAATCAAATCTGTTTCCTGTATAGCACTGTTGACACAGTATTAAGTAGAGGTGCACCGCAATAGAAATGTAAAAAAACGGAATGAAAAAAATTGTGAGGCCGAAACAGAAAATGTTTTTTAAATTAACTTCTTATAAACTTTTTTAATTTTTTTTATATTTATTTGTATTCATTTTTTTTATTAAATATTTTTATTTTTTACTTTACTTTTATGGGCTTCGGGGAAATATTGGGAGTCTAAACAGACCCCTGATATTTCCCTTTTAAAATAGAAAAAAAGATTGAGAACACAAAGTCCTCAACAATCTCTTTTTCTGCAGCCCCTGTTATCGATGGGCAGGAATCCTCTATACTGAGTGTTCCTGTTCATTCATAACATGATGACAGAGTATGGTTACTATAACCACAATTATGAATGAACAGGAGGTGATGTAGATCACTTCCCATTCATTCATAATTGAGGATATAGTAACCATACTCTGTCCTCAATTATCTACAAACACTCACTGATCACTGACTGCTTGTACCCGCTCTCCTCTCTGACACGCTGTACAGGAGGCCGAGCGAGCGGTGTGAGGAGGAGAGCGCAGCCTCCTGTGACCGTGCGGGCTGTCTCCGCCCACCCACCGCTCTGCCGGATTGTGATAGGCGGCTGATCAGTGTGGGACGAGAGACACCGGCCGCTCACAGCGCCCTCCTCCCGCAGCGCTCGGCCGGCTGTCACTTTCTCTCCTCAAAATCTTTTCAAATCTTAGCTGAACAAACTGAGGAGAGATGCTGATTGGTTGCCATGGGCAACCACCCAGTTTCTGTCTGCTCCAGTTTTGATAAATTCCCCCATTTGTGTTTTATGAAAACATAGAGCATAATAAAACTGTAAATCCCAGACTATGTACAACCTGCCCTCCTGGTCTGCTATGTGCAATTTAAAACCTCTAAAAACGATGATTGAAGCAGAAATAAAAAGTAAAGGTTAAATACGTTTTTTTGCAGAAACTAGTACGATGTAAGGCCTGTGCTGATGCTGGCCTGCTAGATGAAAACTTCTTAAGAAGATGCCTCAGCTTTTATGGAATGGTCATCCAACTCCTCTTGCATATGATGGATCCCGCATATCCAAGGTGAGCTTCCATCTGTTGTTGCATGGAGCCATTCATTTCTCCCATCATTTAGGAGGATGCGTTTGTCTATTGGCTGGTAATAGAGAAAACCTGTGTGTTGGTATATCTGAAATTGTAGTTCTTGATTTCTAACTTTGTGCTTTTCTCTTCCGGTTACAGTATAACGCTGCCTTTAAACCCAGACATTCCCAAGATGTTTGCTGCACTGCCCGAGTTCTATGTAGAAGACGTAGCCGAATTTTTGTTTTTTATTGTGCAGTAAGTACATGGCCTTTATTTTGTGCGCTCTGTGGTTATGTCAAAGCATCTGCAATGGCATTGTCCTTGTTTTTTTAAAGGAGAGCTATTGAGAGAGTAAAAAAGTCTTCCCGATAGTTTGAGCTGCTGTGTGACACTGCAGCTGTCACACTCTGGCTCTATAGATCGAGAACTGAGCGATCACAACTGCTGATCACTCAGCTCATGGCTGCTCCCTGCAGAGAGCTGTGACTGCCAGGTACCACTCGCCGCAGGGATTCCCCCCGTTCTTCCAGTGCTTATTGGAGGGACAGACAGGGGAGGGGGAAGGCACTCGACAATATTGTCGGGATCCATCCCGGCCGCAGTGCGGCTCTGCGTTGTCAGCATATAGCGGGCAATAGCCTTAGCATCAGTAAATGTTCTCCTGTGACCCAAAAGAGAACAATAGCCAAAAATAAAAGGTTTGGCTGTAGTTCTCTTTTAAAGTTGTAAACCAACAAGCAGCTTCATTTATAACCATTATTAAAGTAATCCTGACGGGTACAGATGTACATTTAAAGGAGAACTATGGGGTCAGGGCTTTTCCCCATAGTTCTCCTAAGGGTCACGGGAGAACACAAACTAGCGTCCTCCCGTCACCCAAAGCTCAGTATACCGCGGTATACTGTGACACCGCAGCCGGGACGGATCCCGACAATACTGTGTCTGGATCCACCCAGTTTCGGGATTGACAGCTGGCTCTGCTTATCCAGAGTCAGAGCCAGCTGTGCCCACCCCCCTCCCCTGTCCATTCCGCCAGTCAGCGCTGGAGGATCGGAGAGGGGAGGGGGGTTTCCCTGCAGGGAGCTGTGAGTGACAGTCACGCTCTCTGCAGGGATAGATCGAGAAGTGAGCGAGTGACGGTATGTGTTCCCTCACTTCCCGATCTATTGAGCCGACCTGTGACAGTTTAATTGTCACAGGTCGGCCCAGATTATGAGGCTGAGTGAAAATCACTCGCCTCATAATTCTCCTTTGTCTATTTTTACACACACACACACTCTCCCCATAGACCCCCCCCCCTGTTTTATTTTCAGAAGTAACATGTTGCCTTCATAAAATTATATGTTATGTGTAATTGAATAATGCACTGGTGCTGTTTCGCTGTTAATGAGGGTTTTGCTTTCTCCTCCCAGATACGCTCCTCAGGTCCTCTATGAATCCTGCACACAGGATATTGCAACGTTCCTGGTGGTGCTGCTATGCAACCAGAACTATATCAGAAACCCTTACCTTGTGGCCAAGCTGGTGGAGGTTATGTTCGTCACTAACCCCGCCATACAGCACCGGACCCAGAAGTTCTTTGAATCTATTGAAGGCCACCCGTTGTCAGTCAAACTCCTTGTGCCCTCGCTGATGAAGTTCTACACTGGTAAGGAAAGAGTTTGCTCCAGAGATCCTTGTGACTTCCTCCAACCGACCTCTGTCAGTTTGCTAATGAACTGGCCTAGTTTGTTAAAGTTTTAGGGTGACATCACATCTATGCATTGTGGTAACATTGTCATCTTGTTGTATGTTGCCATAACACATAGTGGGTTCACCGTAATGCACATACCTGTGTTGTAGGGAAAAATATGTCACATTGATGCATGAAATATCTCGTGTTGCCATGCATAGGATAACGCTTCAGACAGATATAAAGTGGGCATTCAAGTGGACCTCATCTTTGCCAATGTGGCTTAGTGGACTGACCTCAGCGTGTGGATTAGCTTAATTCCCGACTTTTTTTTTGTTTTTTTTTTGTTTTGTTTTTTTAAATAAAGGGAAAGGGTTAGAACCTACATCAGGTTTAAGTTGCTGTTTCCTTTCTTTTCTGTGTGTTCAACAGAATGGCAAGTGAGGGGATTCTGTGCAACAGCTACACAGATCGTAGTGGTTCTAGTGCTTCCTCTCTGTAATGAAACATTTTGGCTTGAGTTGGGCTTTAATGCCAGGTTTTTATTTTTATTGTGCATTATATATTATGTATGTGTATTTTTAAAAGTACCCTAAAAAAAAAATTCTTGAAGTGCGCCCAGAAAATACAGCCATACTAACCAGGGCTTCTGAGGCGCCTCACTGCCAAGATGACCTTTTTCACACAGGGATGTCCTATCTTTTACCAAACAAATAGCCTATTTTGCGCTCTTCGTTAAAGTGCTGTCTCTCCCCCCTGTGTTTTCACAATGCATTGTGGCAGCCAGTAGACTGTCACCTATAGGATTCGGAGGAGAGGCAGGGCTTTGGCTTGAAGCCCAAGTCAGAGACAATGTGCAGAATGTGCCCAGTTTCTGGGGCTCCCGGGAGAAAGCAGCAGGTATGCGCAGGCCCCCTTGTGTTTGATGGTGATAACATTCTGCATCCATTTTGCATTATATATTTATCTCAGTGGATAGAACTGTTTCTCTTTTAATAAACTCAACACAAATGAAAAGGGCCCTGAGCTTATTCGCTAATAGCCAGCAGGCGGTAATGTGCTTTCTGTGTGCGTGTGCCATGACCTTGTAATAATAATACGACGACTCTTCTATGTCTTCTGCAAGGCTGATTCTTGCCATTAGTTCCGCTGTGTTGAATCAAGCATGGTCTCATGTTCTCTGGTCTTCTCTGGCCCTGCAGCTTATCAGTGGCTCTCGGGGAGATCTGGCTCATGTACATGAATTGCCCAGTACTGACACTTATGATCCGCTTGATCTTCTCAATGAATGCGCTTGTTTGTATTTTGGCAGATGTCGAGCACACGGGTGCCACCAGTGAATTCTACGACAAGTTCACCATCCGCTACCACATCAGCACCATTTTCAAGAGCCTTTGGCAGAACCCAGGTCACCATGGCACTTTTATGGAGGAATTCAAGTGAGTGACCTAGAGCCAAGTATAAATAACCCTTGAAATTAAAGTCATAAATATCCTATATACACCGGCTCCAGACAAGACTGAGAGGTGTTATCATTGAGTTTCTATCCCCATCCTCCCATCCTCACCTGTGGTCATGAGCTGTAGGTAGCTGGAGAATACATCTTTAAAAACTACTTCTCCTGAAAGAAACATAGCTGAATGCTACTGCTGTCCATGCTTTTTCTTCAGCTAGGCCCAAAGTTCAGCAGACAAAGGTGCAGACAGCAGAAAAAAGGCTTCTACACAGCACTGGTGGGCTTATATGTTACATATTGGGTAGGGTTAGGAAGTTGACAACTTGGGAGATGGGGTGGAGTAAAGGGTCAGAAGACCTTTGGGTCACAGAGAATAGACAAATGCGGGCGTTTTGTTTTAGGTCAGACGCTAAAACCTGATTTTGCCTATTAAAAGTGGTGATCTCCATACTGCTAATTTTATTATGGTTGGCTTGTGTGGATTTGTTGGCAACCAAAAGCTACTGTGCGGTAGAGGTGGTGGCTCTGCAAAATGCATTAGAAGTTGAGGTGCCTTGAGCACCTGAAGCAAAATTATCCTTGAAGGCTCTTCTAGAAACTGATTAAATCTCCCAATTGGCTTGGAAACAATTTGCAATTTCCCAGGAAAACGTTTAAGCATGCTCTTTTTCGGCCGGGCTGCCCTAATGTAGCCCCGTGACCTAAACTAGGACAATCAGTCATGTCGATGGGAAGTGGAAAAGCTGTGACTCTCCCTGTGTTCAGCTGATCTCTGCTCAAGTTATAGGGGCAGGAAAAGCAATGTATTGTTAAGATCTTGTGTTTTCTTTAGCCTTCCCTATCTGATATCGGAGGCCTTTTGTTTTACAGCTCGGGGAAACAGTTTGTGCGTTACATAAACATGCTGATAAATGACACCACGTTCCTGCTGGACGAGAGCCTGGAGTCCCTAAAACGCATCCACGAGGTGCAGGAGGAGATGAGGAACAAGGAGCTCTGGGAACAGCTGGCTCGGGTTAGAGCTTCTAGTAGTGAACTAATTTTATAGTGTATTATTGCTAAAATACAGTGGGGAAAATGTATCCAAATGTATTGCTCTGTGGCAGTGTGCGTGAAGATGCGTTTTTGCAGCATACCATAATTTGTGTCATTCTGTAGATATGCTGCAGTGCCATTCATTGGTAATGGCAAACCCTGCGTACCATGCTGTGCCATGTGCCTTAATTTGTGTGTTGCACCGAAACGCATGATAAAGTACATTGAGGGGAATTAATCAAAACTGGAGCAGTTGCCCATGGCAACCAATCGGCTTCTCTCTTCAGTTTGTTCAGCTGAGCTTTGAAAATGAAAGAAGCTGATTGGTTGCCATTCACAGCTGCTCCATTATTGATAAATTCCCCTCAATGAGTATTGGCATCAATGCGTGAGAAGGGCAATCAGGTAACGGAACTTCGTCTTGCAGCAGGTGGTTGCACGTTAACGTTTGTTGTTCAACATGCACTTGAATAAGTAACAGCTGGAATTCAGGTATCGTGGAGCAACACATGTGACTGTCTTTTGGAACTGCTGTCACTTTTGCTTACTGTATTAAAAGCTCAAACCTTTTTGTTTTGCACAGAGTGGTGATAGGTTGGAACACATGTCCTCCTGCTTAGGAGATGCATCCTTCTCAATTGTCACGGGTACTACAAGAAAAGGGAAAGTTCTACCAATACCAGAACAGGAACAAAGGAGATGTCTTGCAAAAGGGACACTTTTTTTCTAATGACACCTAAGACGAACTTCCCCTCACTTCTTGTGTCTGCAGGGCAGGAAGTCAAGAGAAATATTTCCAATGGGACATAGATGACTGGAAAAACCTGACAGGGGTTTTAATAATTTTCTACTCCAAAAATGAAAAAATAAAAAAGTTGAAATAAACTTTCAGAAATCCTTAATGTGGTACTTACCCAGAAGTCCCTTTTTTTTCTTCTTTTAGGCATCCATTTCACTTGGAATATTGCCTAAAGGCTCCCTACCTGTAGCACGAGCCAACAGGCCCTCACCAATAAGGCCAGGAGGTCAAAATGGCCCTGTTTTTATGTCGGTGTGTGGTTTAGCAATGGCCATGTGGTATTTTGGACCTTTCTTGTAGAAATAGCTTGTACCCAGAATCCATTTCTGCTTTTTTGAGCTGAGTTTCTTTTAGAAATCCCCAAATGGCTTGCCTGAGTGTTTGCTCTCAGCACTATTGTTATAATAGACTGTGTTTTATCTTGCTTTGCAGGAACAGCAGCAAGTACGCCAGTCTCAGCTGGCCCAAGATGAGAGAGTCTCTCGCTCCTATCTTGCTTTAGCCACAGAAACGGTAGACATGTTCCACATTCTCACCAAGCAAGTGCAGAAGCCGTTCCTGAGACCCGTGAGTGCTGAGCACCTAACATTAAAGCATGTGGTCATCTGAAATCCCATGCCCAGTTCTTATCTGCTTTTCTCCTGTGCAGGAGCTTGGACCTCGGTTAGCTGCTATGCTGAACTTTAACCTACAGCAGCTGTGTGGGCCCAAATGTCGGGACTTGAAGGTGGAGAATCCAGAGAAATACGGGTTTGAACCAAAGAAGCTCCTGGACCAGCTCACGGATATCTATCTGCATTTAGACTGCGCGCGGTTTGCAAAGGCTATAGCTGATGACCAGGTTTGTTTGCTCCCTTTACCACGTTTTCCACACTGAAATGTTACCTAGTTTGGCAACTAGAATCCCTGCTGCACCAGGTTTATCCAAGATTGTCCGACTGATGGCCCTATGCCTGACATTTCCTGCAGAATATATTGATATCTGAATTATATTTTCTTTCCACTTCTGCAGCTTAGGTATTCGTTGAAGCTGAATTCTGGGCACAAAAACCTTCAATTGAATATATTACTAAAAAGCTGCAAACACTATAAATCCAGATTGTGTACACTAAATGCCTTTTATAAACCCATATAGCACATGGTAACATTTTCAGTTGTATCATCCCTATGCCTGTGCAAACCGCAGAGCTGTGGGAAGGACACAGCAGCTCCACACACTACAGGCTGCCTGCAGAAAACTACTGGAGGGGGTGTATATAAGACCAATCACCCTGCAGAAGAAGGGAGGGCAGCAGTGACTGGTCTTCATTACAGTAAGCTCCTGCACAGAGGCACATTGGATTACTGATTACAAGATTGAAATAAGAATAGACATGCCTTTTGATTATCCCGGAGTCCAGCTCAAAGGACTTCTTTTTGGATGTGGTAGTGACAACACTGACTGATTATTGTCTGTGTCACCTCTAGGGATTTTGCCTTTTATTTGTTCTGACAGACAGAAAGTGAGGGGAAATCCATAACTTTACTTGCCACCAGAATAAGAATAGATGGTAAATCTTTCAATGGGGAATAATTTTGGTGACAACTATGTAGAGACTCTTAGAATGCTGCTCATGGAACTTAATTTCTTCTCCTACAGAGATCATACAGCAAAGATCTGTTTGAGGAGGTAATTTCCAAGATGAGGAAAGCTGGGATAAAGTCCACCATTGCCATTGAGAAATTCAAGCTACTTGCTGAGAAGGTGGAGGAGATCGTAGCGCGAAACGCTCGAGCGGAGATTGATTATAGCGATGCACCGGACGAGTTCCGAGGTATGGTACAGCATTCTGCTCTCCACCTTAGTGTCATTTTTGGGTTCTGTCACCAGAATATGGATTTGTGATACACATCCTCTCTGTGTCCATTGTTATGTAGTGTGAGATTAAGTCATTTACCTGTGGGATGTCCAGCCCACAGGTACCAGAATGTGCTCTTGCAGGTTGTATATTGCCAGTGCCCAAACACGGACATAAGAAAAAGACACAGCTCCCAAAGTCTGTTTCTCCCTGCAGGTTATTGCCTTACTCCTTACTGCCATTTATATACATCACCCGAGCTGGCTCTGATCCGAGCCATCATCAAGTGACACAGATCAGACACAGTGTACAGAGCCAATCTGAGTGGCACAGGAATCCCAAATGTAAACAGTACTTCTCTTTACATTGGAGAGCCCTCCCGTTCCTTCATTGTGAAAGGAAGGGGAGGACTCTCCAGTGTAACCAGTAGTACTTTTTAGATTTGGAATCATTGTTATTGGTTATCACAAGGTACAGAGCCACTCGGATCGACTCTGTACAGTACATAAGTAGTTTTTATTCAATGAAGATGATTAATAGATAAATGAAGGGATCAGTTAGCATAGCAAGGGATCTTTTTTTTTTTTTCACGTTTTTATTTACCCCCTCCTCTCCATGCTGTCTTTGTGTGACCTGTGTATTAACTCCTTCACCTCCCTTATCCTGCACAGACCCCCCCCAATCCCATGTCTATCCTCATTGCATGTGACCTGCACATTAACCTCTTCCTCCCTCTGTGTATGACCTGTACATTAATAATGCGCTGTATCGAGTGCACCATTAACTAGATCCATGTTTTAGCCACGTTAATACATGTTTTTTCATTTCTAATAAATTCTGCTTTTGTTTGCTCTGCGCATGGAATGCAAAAAAAAGCAGTTACTAACTATACATTTTAGGGCTCTCTAAATTGTTCTACATTCCATTCATTATTTATTTGTTTGTTTGCTTCCGTGTGCCTTGGTGTTGACTTTGTTCCTCTTTCAGATCCACTGATGGATACCTTAATGTTGGAGCCGGTGAGACTGCCATCTGGAAACGTCATGGACAGATCGATTATTCTGCGACATCTCCTAAACTCCTCAACAGACCCCTTTAGCAGACAAACCCTAACTGAGAATATGCTTGAACCAGGTACAGGACACATAACCGCCTGCAAATTGGTGTGGCATCCATATGAATATCGCTGCAATTATTAACTTTTAACAAGAACTTTAGTAACCAACAGTTGAGCTTTTTTGATTGTGAAAAATATGCCCCAGGTAACGATTGGCTTATAGATTAGGTTTCCATGCAGCGTGACAGACTTCTATTTGATCTGCATTCACACAAACACTTGCAGCACTATGTACTTTCCGCTTAGTCAAGACAATCTACAGTAAAAAATTTTAAAGGCCATTGAGTTCAGTGCCTTTTTGTTTCTGTTAGCGATCACATGAACTGTACCAACCACCTTTCCTGTACTAAAGGAGAAAGCCATCCTGCCTCCCAAGTGGACAGCCATGTGACTTTTCTGTCCTGCAGGGACTACATTTCCCGGCAGCCAAGCTGTACTTCCTGCAAGGCAAGGGTAGTCAAACTTTGTCCCTTCAGCTGTGGTGGTACTACAGATCCCATCATTCATCTGCCTCAGGAAGTCATGCATGTGGCTGTCTTGTCTTGCAATGCCCTAAAGAAGAACTATGGGGTAAGTGTTTTCCCCCATAGTTTTCCTCAGGGTCACGGGAGGACATAAACTAGCGCCCTCCCGTGACCCAAAAAGATCCACACAGCTGCGTGATTGACAGCTGGCTCTGCCTATCTAGAGGCAGAGCCAGCTGTACCTGCCCCCTCCCCCGTTCGTTCCTCCAGTCAGCGCTGGAGGATCGTGAGTGACAGTCCCGGCTCTAAGCAGGGACAGGATCGAGAAGTGAGCAAGCAACGGTATGTGTTCGCTCACGTCCCGATCTATTAAGCTTTCATTGTCACACATCGGCTCGAACTATGAGGCTGTGTGAAAAATCACTCACCTCATAGTTCTCCTTTTTAAGGGCTTGTAATTCCCCTTCAGCTGGAGGGCCAAAGTTTGCATAACCCTGTATGAATTGTGGAGGAGAGGGCATGCATAAGGGAGGCAATGAGGAGGCAGCCACGGGCAAGTCATTCAGTCAATATACCCCTGAGACTCAGTGACATTAAAGGAGAACTATGGGGTTAAGGCTTTTCCCCATAGTTCTCCGGGTAACGGGAGGACACAAACTAGCGTCCTCCCGTCACCCTAGGCTCACTGTACCGCAAGCTGCTGCTCGCGGTATACTGAGACGCTGAAGCGAATCCCGACAATTATGCCGGGATCCGCCCAGCTGCATGACTGACAGCTGGCTCTGCCTATCTAGAGGCAGAGCCAGCTGTACCCGCCCCGTCCGTTCCGCCATTCAGCGCTATCGGAGCGGGGGGAATCCAGCAGAGAGCCGTGACAGGATCGAGAGGTGAGCGAACGCTGGTATGTGTTCGCTCACTTCCCGATCTACTGAGCCGACCTGTGACAGTCTCATTGTCACAGGTCGGCTAGAACTATGAGGTGAGTGAAAAGCACTCGCCTCATAGTTCTCCTTTTAAACTCAGGCGTTAGAACTTAAAAATGCCTTTTATTGGCCCCCTCCAGAAGGGAGGACAGTGTCGGCACCAATTCAGAGATGATTTGAGGATCTACAGCCGAGTGATACACAAATAAGATACATTTTTGTTAAGGCTGGGTTCACACCTAGGCGTATTACGCATGCACGTCTGTCGCGCGACCGTCACGCGTTTTTTTTACCGCGATTCGCGGTAAAAAAAACGCGCGACCGTCGCGCGATTCCGAAGGCTACTTGGCTGTATCCCAATGGAAAACGCCCTCCAAAACGGCCCAAAGAAGTACATGTACTTGTTTGGGCGTCAGCCGTTTTGTAGGGCGTTCAGACGGGCGGAAATACGGAAAGGTGTGAACCATACCCATAGAAAACAATGGGATTTTCATGGTTGTACGTTTTGTAGAGCGTTCATAGAGCGTTGAACGCCCGACAAAACGGAAAGGTGTGAACGGGGCCTAATAGGGTACTGAAATGGTTTTTTAAGATATAACTCCTGTGTCACTTAACACCAGCACCGTTTTCAGGCAGGGACTCTCGGTGAGTTACACTACATAGGTAAAGGTCTTGTCATGTCTCTGCTGTTGTTAAAGTCAGATTAGAGTTCAGCATTAAAGTTAAGCTGTGCTACCATCCATCTGTGTCCACCTTTTGTGTATTTCTCCTCCTGATAATGGGTCACGTTTCCGTTTTGTTTCCTCAGTGCCAGAACTGAAGGAGCGGATCCACGCGTGGATGCGGGAGAAGCATAACACTGACCAGTGACACAATGGCGCATCATTCAGATATTTGCATTACTGGAGGATGGCCACAGGGGCTTGGAACCTTGTACATATATTTAAATAATATTGCAAGCATTGACGTGCTCACCTGATGGATAGTTACAAAAAAAAAAGAAAAAAAACCTTTAAAACAAGGGGATTATATTTTCTTAATAAGGGCCAGCATTACCAGATGGAAAGCAGAGACCGCCTTTGCATCAAAATGCATCAAAACATGAAACAGTTAATAGAGGCAATCAAGGTTCTATGACAAGCCAGCTGCATCAGTGTACTGACTACCGGAGGGTCTTGTTTTTTTTTTAATTATTATTTTTTACTTCTGCTGCTACTGTTTTTTGTTTTTTCCTTTTTCCCTCCCCTCTTCTCCCCGCCTGGATATCCGTGTTCTAAATAAAGGATTTAGAGATTGATCGAAATGCATTGAAACAAGGTTCCTGCCACTCTTGTGTGTTAACCAGGTTGGTAAGATTCACGGACTCAAGTGAAATTCGATTGCCAGGGCCAAATTTTTGTATTACGCTTAGTAATCTAAATATTCTGATTTAATGTATGTTATATATTGATGTTATATATAACATATGTACATTATATAATGTACACATAATGTACATTAGAGATAGAATTTTTGGTTTAAAGGACAAGTCCACCCTAAGCGGTTTTCCTTAAATCTTTCTCGAGTGGCGATCACTACAATCTGAGTGGATTTTGGCAGATTTGAATATATATCCTTAGTCAGGTCAAAGCAGACAAGAAATATTCAGCCGTGACAGGGGGCGGAGCTGGGATCTCAGGGCGGGGGCGAAGGGGTCTCACCGATGTCAAGAGTTTATAGGAAGCTGGTGAGTCTAATATTTTAGCAAGAAGCAAACGTTTTTCTTTTCATTCACACGCAAGGTAATGCTCTTTGTTTTTTAAAAAGCTTTCTAAGATCTGCCATGGGAGCCATTTTATAATGGAAGACATGTTTAGATATAGCGTGTGACCCGTCGGACAGGTTGCACCCTCCATTGCCCTTGCTTTACCTCATCCCGCACTGGGGAGAGGAGATCTCCTGTATGCACCCATGTCTAGCCTTACCAAAGTGACTGGTGCCAGGGAGTCTGGCCAGGGCAAGCTGTCCTCGTACTTTTTTTCTTTTTTTGTTTTTTCTCTCTGCTTTATTTTTTTATGAAATCCTTTTGTATTACTGCCCTCCACAGCATACTTGAATTCCTGGACTACCTTTATGTGGAACGGCAGGAAAGTTTTATCCTAAAGCCTGTAAAAAGGTATAGAAGTGTGCCCCCCCTCTCCTTTTTATTTTCAGTTTCATGGCAGATTTCTCCTCCCTGATAGGCTCTGGACTCTGGAAATACAATAAATGGTGACAACACTGCTGTGTTTGTGTGTGTTATTCCTGGATTGCTACCCCCATGGCTGGAAGATGCACTTGGCCACGGAAGTAAATGTTGAATGTTGGTGTGCCTGTGATGACATCAGAAATGTTAAACAAGAACTTCACAAAAAATCAAAATGTACTCTTGCAGTGGGGCTACCCCTTGCACTGAAAGGGTTAAGTGCCTGTTTTGTCCTGGGGGAAACAAAGCAGGTTTACTTGGTTCTGCCTGCTCTCTCCGGGTTGCTAGACCAGTCCCCACAGCTACTCCTTCTCTGGGCTCTGGTGGGTCTAAGGACCATTGACATCATCACGTCTTGGCATGGGTGAGGGAAATTTCCCCTGCCAACTATTGTATGCTGACATCCACTGACTGCAGCTGTCAGAATACCCCAACAATGGCTGCATCTGATTTGCTGCAGTCACTGTTCATCTGACAATTTTCCACCTGGCTCCTTTGATTGAAAAATTGACTCTTGTCGAGTTGGGTTGTGCCACCAACAAATCAAATTGTGTCCAATTTAGCTGGAAACGTCCATTAATTAATCCTATGGATGGACAGCGTTACTGAATATGAATGTCTGCTTCCACAACCCTGAAACGGTCGATTACACCCGCTTTATGCCCGATTCAGCAAATTGCAGCAATTTTTCCCCCTCTTAATTTTTTGCTGTATTTGTGAAAATTTTGTTTCAAGGATGCCTCTCACATGTGTTTGTGTTCGATTTTCATTTAGTTTCTGATCAGAATTACAACCATTTCCATTCAGACCATCAAGGTAAGCCTATTATAAACCATAACTGCAATACATTGGGTTTGCTAATAACAACAATTTCCATGGTTTTTTTTTTTCTACGTCTTTCTTTTTTATCTTTGTTGTACCTCATTTCTGCTGAAGGACTATTTCAGCCACTTCTGTCTGCATGCCTGATGGCTGCACATCCTTGGATCAGCTTCTTGATGGTGGCAACAGTGGACCATGGTTGTGCAATGCGTGTTGCTATGGTGGCTTGTATTCTCCGCCAGGGTTGCATGTGACAGGGTTACAATGCAAGAACACAGTTGAGAGACAGGGACAGAGGGATATCATCGCATAACAGGAAGTATCTTAAAATGGACCTTCATGGCAGGAATCCCAGGTATTATCTTAAAGCCTAACTACTAGCATTTTTTTTTTTTTACACCAAAATATCCCTAGCGATTGCACAACTAAAAAAAGAAAAACAGCTTTCACTGCGGAGCCGTTTCCTGCACTTCTTTATTTCTCCACAAGATGGCCACAGTCTTAAGGGTTAAATGAAGCACTGCATCATTTATGCATCATCATCCTGCTCACTCTATTGATCAGGAAGTGAGCGAAAACATATTGCTGATGCGCTCACTTCCCGATCATCTCCCTGCAGAGAGAGGTGACTGTCAGCCACCACTGTCTGCAATGATTCCGCCCTCCCCTCTCTGATCCTCCAGCACTAACTGGAGGGACAGACAGGGGAGGGGGCGGCCACAGCTGGCTCTGTCTCTAGAGAGTCTGAGCCAGCTTTCAATCAGCCAGCTGGGTGGATCTCGATACCATTGTCAGGATCCATCCCGGTTGCGGCGATGTTGGCATATAGCACGCAATAGCCCTCTATATGCTGAGTTTTGGGTCAAGGGAAGATGTAGGAAATGTCCCAAAAGAGAACTATGCCAAAAACAAGTCACCCCACAGTTCTCCTTTAAGACATGGACACTCCAAATACATTGAATCCTTTCCTTTTCAATTGGACCTAAACAAAAAATATGCTAAAATGAGTGTATCGAAACACAAAACTGTAATATGTTTCTGGTTACCAGTCCTTAGATGGAGTAGCTGCTTTTCTTTTAGGCAAATAACAGTTTCATCAAGTACAGAAAATGCCTGTTGTCAGCAAGGCCATGTCTCACTTCCTGTGAGATAAAGGCAGGAAAAACAATGTTATTTGCAGGAATACCAGGGGAAAATAAAGATTGGAAAAAATAAAACACCAGCACCACATCTACCTGCAATAATAACATGTTTGTTTTTAGCTTTAGACATCCTGTAAGCTTCTATACAGTCTGCTACATCTTTACCTGGTAATGATTTTGGATGCCAATTACTCTGGTAGACACAGGTGCTCCCTCTCGTGGTTATCAGCCTGTATATTAGATGTCAATTGGCAATATATGAAAATGATATGGAAAATTAAATTCCAATGAAAATAGGCAATGCCTCCGAAGTCACCAATTGTGAACATATCTTCCCTCCTTTGTTTTTAGGAAGGATGATTAAATGTGTGAAAAGCCCAACTGTTCTTTTATTTTTGTTTGTTTTAATTTTTATACCCGTGATTAGTTTAGCTTTGACCATAATTCAGACAAGGAAACAAATAGATAAGCCCGTGTGAGATTTTTGCCTTATTTTATTACAAGGCGGTACAAATACAAAATCCCAACTCTAAGAAGCAATTAAACAGTCCCTGTACACCAGGGGGAAGTGTAATCCCTGTTTAGCGGCTTGTAGCTGCAATATAAGATTACCGTGTCGCATGCAAATCTGTTGGCGTCTCCTCTCCAGAATTCCGGCTATGCCTGTGCGTTTTATCGCATTGTGACAGCGAAAGGATCGCTTCGGAAGGGGATTTTAGAACAGTATAATGAGCTGACTAATAACACCCTGTTGTCCAAAGGAATGATAAACTGCAGAAAAAGGGCATTCCCTACTGTAATGTAGTGGATTTTTTATTTTAGGTCCTTTTGACAGTGTGAGCCGTATTAAATGGTTAGAAATAGGAGCTGGCCATGTTTTGGATTGGTGTATGTGTCTTGATGATTACTAGTTCTGCATCAATTTCCGAAGATGAACTCCTGTCAGGTATAAAAGACACACATTGATAAAGCTCTGAACTCATTGTTCCATCATTAAGGCCTTGTTCACACCAAATGCAGAGCAGATCTGCATGAGTTTCTGCACATGCAGTGCAGTGGGTTGTGATGCGTTTTTTTAAATGGGCTTTCAGTGCAGTCCAGGGCGTTTGCGAGCAGGTAAAATAGGGCCTGCTGCAGGTTTTTTTTTACCTGCTCTGGAACGGAACGCTGCGATGTGAACTGGGGGCTAAAAATACCATTGGAATACATTGGACGCAGTTTTGCTCCGGTCTGTATCTGCTCTGCTCCTGGAACGTGCTTGGTGTGAACAAGGCCTAAATGTGTTTTTAAATGCGAGCAGTGTACCCGACTTTGACCTGATATCAGTCTTCTGCAGTCCCCTGTACAGCAGAGTTCAGACTGGGAGACGTAGGAGAGCAGCCAGGGGCCATTTGGGTGTGCTAACAAGGAACATGCTAGCAAGTCTAAAGGCATTTCCATTCTCTTGCCTCATTCGTCCCCACTTAGATATTTGGAAGAAATGAAAGATGAAGAAAGCAGGTACATAATACTGAAAGGTTCTCTAGCATAAAACCCAGTCACCATAGTAAACGTGTACACTGCCCTCCAAATGCATGGTGTACATTTCTAGCCAAACTCATTGACAGTGGGAGGTATGATTTATATTAACTCAGATTTAAAAATAAAAAACAACTCCCATGCAGCACTTTCCAAAAACTGCTTGCTCTCCACCTATGTGACACCTGACTCACTCCTCTAGTGCAGGCCTTCTTAAACTTTTTTTTATGCAACCCTGGGGTCTCTCCCTTCCTTCCATAATCCAACCCCGCGTCGGTCCGTGT